TACCAGACGAAGGGGGACAAAATGCTATATATATGTAATGCAGCTTATTACATTAATCTCCGGAACAGGTGCTTCTGGTACCAGACGAAGGGGGACAAAATGCTATATATATGTAATGCAGCTTATTACATTAATCTCCGGAACAGGTGCTTCTGGTACCAGACGAAGGGGGACAAAATGCTATATATATGTAATGCAGCTTATTACATTCATCTCCGGAACAGGTGCTTCGAGAAGTGCGATGGGGAAAAAATCCCATATGTAACGCGGCTTATTAAATATTACGATGCTAAACTCGGGAACGGGTGCGCGGGAAAACTTCCGATTTAGAAAATTTTTCGATTTTATTACTCGATCGAAATTTCCCATCGTAAAATCGAGGAGAATTGCGCAGTGCTGCTCAAAAGTCACCCGGGGTGGAGGTGAAGGGGTGGGGCACTGACATTTCCGACAGGGATCTAGGGGTTTTTAAAAGTTTTTTTTATCAAGCAACTCTCTACTTACCTATTGTCGGATCGTATTCGTCCACGAAACTGAAAAAAAAATGAAGCCAACGATCCGTTAGTAATTTAATTTAGTTGCGCACATTACGTCGCAAACGAAGGTGGCGCACAGTGACGCACAATGGTAGAGCGGGATAGAGTTTATATTGAAAAACTTCCTGGTTTTACTATACCTCCCACCTAAACCTTTAGTAATTTGTTACGCATGGACATCGTTTTTAATTTTTTGATCTACAAACGTGAAAACAAAAAAGCATATCCCTCTATGTTAGCAACTTTAGCACGATAGATTAAACACACCACTAGAGGGTACACATTGATCACCTTTCTCCACACGCACGCACGCACGCACGCACGCACGCACGCACGCACGCACGCACGCACGCCCGCCCCACAACACACATTATTGACACACATATATATACTATATATTATATAACCAACTACCCAATAATCATATATAATATATAAATCATATAATATATATATACATAATATTATATATATATTGTGTGCATATATACATAACATACACACAATAATTACACATCTATCATGCTATTTTTGTAGGGCCCGTTGTCAGAAACAAAATTAGTCCTAACGATTAGTCTAACACTACCATTTTCTCCGTAGACCGTCGCCAGCGCTTTGTTTCCTATAGCGCGTTCACACGTCAGGAAAATCCACGATTGCGTACGCGTACGAAACAGAGATTTCGTACGTACTCGCGATAAATTTCCCTTCGTCTGAACGACCACGTTATATAGCTATTACAAATATTATAAGAAAAACACCCATTCCTGACAAAAATGATGGCGTTTCCTACTGTACTTCGTATAGCTGTACGCGTATATAGCAGACCGTGGTGAAGACCGACTATAGCCTATACGCGCATAACAATAGAAAACAATGCGTGAGTCGCCCCGATACCCTACCCGAGAAATTAACCACGTTAAAGACTAATCAAACTAATTATTGTTTCCGACAAAACGGAGAACCAGAGTTACTCAAA